ATAGTGATAATCTTTCGAAGGCTTCTTACATTTCCTTAGATGGTGTGATCATGAAAAACTTTCTCCTTAATTTTAGGTCATGTTTGATATAAAACATTAAAAATAAAAAGTAGAGATTGGAATTGAGATTGAAAAAAACCTTTTGAAAGAATGTTTAGCATGAAAGATTTCTTACTAAATAGATTAGGTAAACCCATATGTCTCCTGGTCCAAAAAAAAAAAAAGATAAACCCATATACGTGGGATTGGAGAATACCGTGATAAAATATGATATTCTCCCATTCCAATTCAATGAATTTGTCTAATATCATATAATAAATAATTACTCAAAGTAAATATTTTTTTTTAATGATTTTTACCAATTGCAATCTTAGTCCTTATTTTTCATTTTTAATGCTTTCTATCCGGGATCTTATTTCCTTCAGGCGTAACTTTTCTTGGAAAGCCTCACGTCCTAGTTTTGTCGCCTCGCCGCTGTTTAAGTGCCATGATGTAGCCCGACCAAATCAAGAGGAAACACGTCGACGGCTCTAAGGAGGAAAATTGACACGGAAAAAAAAGGAAGAATTGCAATTAGGTCCCACTCAAGGGAATTTAAATGCAAAAAGATCCCTTGAAATCATGAAATTATTCTGAAGTCCCACAGGACCTTTTTGCAATAAATTTTATTTGTTTAATTACCAAATTACCCTTCTTTTTTCTTTTTTTTTTAAATTTGTATTGACAACTGAAAAAGTAGTGGTTGACAACTCAGGATGCAAGGACTGACAACTATCGCGGCTAGTTTGACAACAGATTTTCTCAGCATATCACACCATAAGTTGTCAAACTAACAACTCAGGGTGCAAGGACTTACAACTATCGCGGCTAGTTTGACAATAGATTTTCTCAGCATATCACACCATAAGTTGTCAAACTAGCCGCGATAGTTGTCAATCCTTACACTCTGAGTTGTCAACCACTGCTCTTTCAGTTGTCAATGCAAACTTTAAAAAAAAAAAAAAAAAAAGGGTAATTTGGTAAGTAAACAAATAAAATTTAATGCAAAAAAATTTTGAGACTTTAAAATAATTTCATGATTTCAAGGGACCTTTTTGTATTTAATTCCCTTGAGTGGGACCTAATTGTCATTTTCCCAAAAAAAAAATGTCTCTCTTCTCTTTCATGCAAGACTCTATTCTGGTTTTATTTTTTTCCGTTGTTGTAGTTGGGCTTGTTAGTTTTCTGTCTGTTGTTGTCTGCTTTTCTTTCGTGGCGCAAACCATTTTCTCTCTCTAGTGTATTTGGGCTTAGTTGAAATGGGTTGTGTGTAATGGGCCATCCTTTTCTTACTGTATCCTTTTATATTTAATTAATTGTCTTTTTTTTGGCCCCAAAACAAGGGCACCTTATAGAGATGTATGGCTATTACCTTATGTATATCAAGGTGCCCACCAAATGGAAAATGAATAAATGATGGAGCGAGGCACTTGTATATATAAATAAAGAATTAGTAATGTAATACTTGTTATAACTAACCGTTTCCGTCCCCCATGTAGTTCATGTTTAATGTCATCTTTTTTATTAAACGTTCTATAAAATTTTAAAACAAACAATTTAAATAAAATATGGTCAAAATTATTCGTATAAAAATATCTTTCATCTATGGGTTAACGTCAAATTTGGATTACTTCATTTATTGTGAGAGCTATCGACGCAAATTTCATTTTTAACCTCATGAATATGTGAAACTTGGAGGGTATTTGGACTAATTTTTTTTGAAAGTAATGTTATAGTATATGATAAAAGTATGTGAGATAAATTTTAGGGAAAATGATAAAAGAAGACTGCCAAAATAGAAAAATTGTAATAAGGACCCATCGACGGAATAGTAGTATGGGTTTTAACAACAGTAGTATGGGTTTTGATAACAATTTCTGTAAATCGATCCTTATATGTAATTTTTCTATTTTGACGGTCTTTTTTGCCATTTTCTCTAAATTTTATTTCAATTTGAGTGATAACGCTATTACGAAGCTAATCCAAACTAGAGCCGGGAAACGGGCCGAGTCCGTCGAGCAAGCCCGTTTAGGCTTGAAAAATACGAGGACTGGGCTTAAAATTTTCTCCCTCGAATAGAAAACAGGCCCTACAAGGCTAGCTCTCTAGGGCCAAGAGCTTAAATGAGCCAGCCCTCCAAGGCTAAGAACCGGCCCGTCATGCCTTTTTATAATTTTTTTTTAAATTTTTTGTGTAATTCTAATATTATTAATTTTTTACATTGTTAATGATATTTTAAATATTTAGTTATTATTATCATTTTAAAATTAAATTTCACAGAATGGTTTGATTTATTTAGTTTTAGACAATAATTTGTCTAATTAAATTTTAAAAAAATGGGTTAACTTGGACTTTAATAATGATTTGATTTATATCATATGTGTTGATATTTTTAAACTATATATATTTGATAAGAGGGTATTTTTATACTTATATAATTTATGATTCTATAATTTGAATAAGAAATTTATGGGTTTTAACAACAATGTTTCTCAAATTAAAGTAAAATAATAACTAAACTGTAAAATTTAAAAGTGAAATTCCTATTAAAAAAAACTTGATATTTTTGTTATGAAAGAAAAGTATGCTTATGAAAAAGAGTAATAATGATAATGAAATTTCAAAAGATTAATGATAGTGTTTGTTTATTACACATTTACACTATAGATGAAATTTTTGGATGTTGTTATCTTGTTAATGAATGTTTTAGATGTTCTTGAATGTTGGTGGATATTTATATATAATGATATTTTGTATTTGTAACTTAATTTTATTCATATTTATGTCTTTTATTAATAATTGTATTCGTTTGTTTTTATTTTTTTGATAAAAAATATGAGAAATATGAAAAATAATTTTTTTTTCTTAAGCTGGCCAAAAGCCCACGAGGACCCTGAACCCGTTAGCTTAAGGGTCAGACCTAGCAAATTGGGGTATTTTTTTAAATTTAACCCCTGTAGAGCCAGCCCTTTTAAACCGACCAACCATATAGGGCTGTCCTGTATTCTCACGTCCGATCCAAACACTCTATGGTAGGCTCACAGGATATGCTTCCTATTATATGGGCTAAAATTCTGTGCAAAGAAAATATTTGATATATTACTATATTTGTGTTCAATTCTTTGTGCAACTTTATCTATATGCATTCTCTAATGCTAAATATTAAAATTAATCGAGTAGCTCCGTGTATAAGACTTTAATTTTTTTTATTTCTCATATTTTTCTATATAAATGATTAAAATGAGCAGTATTTTAAGAAAATGTATACATTTCATAAATAACTAAATTACCTAATTTTCTTTAATATAAATTAATTACTATATAGCTCTTATATTTAGAGTTAGAAGTAGCATAAATTTGTGTGTTTATGAATAAGATTATTATAGGGTTGGTTTGTTGGTTGTGCTATATATAGTCAATTCTTCTAGAGGCCTGACCAAGAAAAGGAGCTTTGCAAATTAAAATAGGTATTTAATCAAATGGGCGTTTGCCACCCAATAATAAGTTAACTTAGAGGAATTAATTAGCCAGCTGACATCAAATTTGGACTAATTGACATTTAACATCAATAACAAAAATCGTCTAACCTTACACCCCATGTTCCACGCAACTGCCTATAACACCCAAGTAATTTACCTAATTCGCCTCCTAACTCCTGTTGATTTAACACAATCAACATGGGAATTAAAGAGAGCAAAAATTTTAGGCATTGAAATTCACGACTTTAATTTGCCGGTAAAACATTACCCTGGAAGTTAGAAAATAACTGAGATAAAAAATTAAAATTTTTGTTTATAGTTCCAAAATTCTTGTTTTATATAAGTTTTGAAAAATCAAATAAACATAAAATATAATAAAATATGGGAATATTTTAAAACAAATATTAAAGGCGTGAAACTTTATTTTGTCCAGACACTCTACTCTTAAATTTTTGCCAATAAAATCCATTTGATAAGATAAATTAAATCTATCTCGGAACAGGTTTCACATGTGATATATGTTCAAAAAATAAGAAAAATTAATGGAGTGTTTAGTATTTAAACTCCTCTGTTACTTAGTATAAAAAATATTTGATTAAAAATAAATAAATTACTTAATCCCAATAAATATAACCGAGGGGTATTATTTTTACATTTTTTTTTTACTATTTTTTCTTAAAACATGGCAGTGTTTTTTTTTTTTTGCCAGATAAAACATGGCAGTTCAAACACACAGTATACCATAAATTACATGCTTTTGTTTTTTGTCGACTAGATATTCAAGGAAGAACATTTTCATTTCAAATGTTTAAACAATTTTCTGGAAAACCTGTTTTTAATTTATTTATTTGGGACCGAACAACTCCGATTCAGATATTTGACACAAGACGCAGGAAAATAATTGGGACAATACAATTCATGTATCATTTTTTATAAAAATTATTTAGGACAATCAGATTAATCAATAATAATAAAAACAAATTATTTTTAAAATAATAATCACTGAGAAATATATAGAAAATATTATATATGCTACTAACTGTCATTAGATTATATCAGACCAAAAGAAAGGGACTTTATAGAAAATAAATTCATATTAAAAAAATTCTCATTAGATTTGATAATATCTAAATAAAATTTAATATTAACTCATGTACTTAATATAAGAGCTAAATAACTAATTTGTAAGTATTAAAAATATTAGTTAAATTAATTATTTGGAATAAATAAGTGTTGTCTTTCTTAAAATATTGTTATTAATCTGAATTGTCTAACATGTATAATGACTATAAGAACTAAATATGAAAAAAATGAATAAATTTAATAGACAAAAATTTATATTTAGAATTAAATTGAATCTCCATCGTAACCTGTTAAATTATTAAAAAAGAAAAATATCTTACACCCTATCTACCTTCACAAGCTACTAACTCACCACATAAAGCTTCGATACCCAAACAAAAAAAAAACCCAAAAAAAAAAAAAAGACCTCTTTCCCATGGAAGTAATGGAGTATAACTGCTCACAACATTGAAAATGATGAGCAGAACAAGTGTTCCAAGTAGTTCATAAATTAATGTGTAAAAGCATATATAGCAGTTGAAATATAAGTCAAAAGAGCGGAAGAAACAAGGACGACGAGAGCTATAACGGCATGAATCGCCGATTTGCTTCCACAAGACAACAATCCCAACCTGATCTGAATCACATTGATCATCGACAGCATCAAGAACAAGCATCCCATGACGGATCCCACGGCGGAGCCCAACATTCCCAGCCTCAAAACCTTCACGTTCAGGTGCGATCTGAACGCCTCGTCCACGTCCTTGCTGTTCAGAAGGTTGATCGCCAGCTTCAGCCCCTGAGCCACCAAAGACGAGAACAAGAAGAAGCTGAACGACACTACCTCAAACACCAGAAGTTTCCTCGCCACGTCGTTTCCGGCGTCGCATGACGATCGGTTCTCCAGGCTTCGCTGACCTGAATTGATATGAAGCTATTATGTTATGTTCATATAAATTGACAAAGGAATTGAAGGTTTTGGTGGTGTGATCGATCACCTTGAGTGGTGAGAGAGAGGCCGACGAAGACGGCGATGGTGAAGAGGGAGTTGACGTTGACGATGCCGTCGAGAGCGGTGACCTGAACGTTCGCCGGAGAAGAAGAAGACGATGAAGAAGGGACGACCCTTCTGGGATTGTCTTGTTGATTGTAGTCAGACTCCTTTGCGTACTGCTCTGATCTGAGATAACAAAAAGGAAATCCAACACACAATATATCAGAGAAAGCTATAAATATGAACTTGGAAGTTCACATTAAAAAATGCAGAGAAACACGAGAGAGAGAGAGAGAGAGAGAGATACTCTTCTTCCATGGAGAAATTTAGGTGGGTATGTTGGGTTTGGGATTATGTGTGTCTGAGGATTCAATATTTGATTTTAATTTTTTTCGTTATGGGTGTTAGGTTGAATTGCTTAGAGTGGGTTTTGCTCTGCTTTCTTGAGAAGGAAGGGGAAGCTTTGATTTGCAGAGTGGATTGCTTTTGGGACGGTTTTAAAGTATGCAAAGTCCGCAAGGAAAGTGAAGGATGAGACTATGGAAAACAGGTGGGCTTTTTGTATTTTTCTGAGCTTGTGGCTTTTTTCCCCTGTTCTTTAATTAACCACGCAAGAAGACAAAGGGTTTAAATTCCTTTCTGAAGGATAAATTAATCATTTTGCTCCAGTAATTTTGCCCCATTTACAACTCAGTTTCCTAATTTTAAATTGATGCAGCTCAATTTCTATGGTTTTAACTTGATTATAATTCAATCTGTAAATTTTAACTCGGAGTAACTCATGAGTACTTAATTACTTATAGTTTGATTATTTAAAACGTCACTCATACCTGAGTTTTAAAAAAAATTCAGTCATTATAGTTTTATTTTCTAAAATGTAGTGATCAGCTATAAGGACTGGGTTATTTTCTAAAACTATGAATCCATTTATAAACCAAGTTTATAAATTTAATTGCAATCGAATAAAAAATGAAGACCAAGTAATTAATTTTTTTATTTTTTATTTTATTTTTTAACATATACCTTGATAATTCATTGCGATATCGGCCCAGCTCACACAGCATCAAGCTGTGACAAGGTCACAACGCGTAAATTCTCTATTTTAGTGAGTTGAATGTGACTTTTTCTTGAAAAATAATTCCTCCTACTGATTTGAATTCTCTCGCCAGAAAATATATTATTAAGGTATATTTTTCAAACTGCCGGCAACATCGAAAAGAATAAAACTCTAAATAAAATGTGAACTAAAATAATGTTTGTCGGTGTGAAATTGTTGTTTATTTCTATCTCAATGGCGGATTGCCGGACTGGAGGGCTAAATCCAATGGATAATAGTTTTTTTTTTTGGTGACAATGGATAATAGTTATAAAAGCAGAAAGTCTTTCGTTCCCCCCCCCCCCGGTTAGCAAAGAAATTAAGAGCAACACGTCTTTACCATATTTGTAAATAACCTTTTTAACCTTTATTTTTACAATTCTTTCAATATTTTTACTGAAATTAAAAAAAATTAAACCTTATTAATTTTATCTCAATATTTAATAACTTTTTCAACTTTATCCCTAATTTAACATATAAACTTTTCAAAAAAAAAAAAAAGAAATACTCCGGTGGTTAAATTTATAAGTTGTTTCACCGGAATAAAGATTTATAAAAAAAATTTAAATTATTTAAATTTGGTTTAAACATTTTAGATTTCCTTTTTAATTTTTCGTAAAGTTCAAAAAAGAAGTGTATCCCACTAGAAACAAGACTTTGAGTTCCGTTAGGAAATGAACATTCCACATTTCTAGTTTCTTGCCTAATACTACCTCCTAAACTTAATATAAAAGATAGTTTGACATTCAATTTGGTCATAAATATAAGATCCTAATTCACTTAGTCTCTCATATTTATCTATTTTTTCAAGATAGTCCTTGTAATAATTGTACACGTTATAGCTTTTATCAAATGATAGTTCTAACTAATATATTACTTTTGTCCTAAATATACGAGCTAGTTGATTAATTTGAGTAGATTAAGAAAATATGTTAAGTTAGTTATTTATGATACATAGGTGTTATCTTTCCTAAAATATCCTTACTAATCAAGTTTATTAGTTAAAACTACTATTATTAGAAGGATCACGTTGAAAAAAACATAAATGAAAGGCAAAATTGATTGGGGTCTTATATTTAGGGTCAAAATAAAAGTCAAACGAGCTCTTATATTAAAGACTAGAGGTAGTACATGATTCACAAGGATATTTTAGGAATAACAGTACATATTTATTACAAACAACTGGCTAAATGAATTTTGTTAATCTATTTAAATTAGCCACACTACAAAAAAGCAGCTCATTACTGATGGAAAATGATTCCGTCACTAATTTTTGATGGATTATTGACGAGAATTCCATCGGTAAATTTCGCGACGGATTAGTGACAGAAATTTTTCGTTACTAAAATTAGCCATGGATTAATGATGGAATAAAATTCCGTCGCTAATTCATTGAAAAATCCATCAATAAATATTTAGTCCTAGAATCAGCGATGGAATTTTTTCTGTCCAAAATTTTTGTCGCTAATTCCGTGATTAAAATTTTATAATTAAAATTTGCGACGGAATTAGCGATAGAATAATTTCCGTAGTTAAAATTTTATAATTAAAATTTGCCACAGAATTAGCAATAGAAAATTATTCCGTCGCTAATTTCCATCACTAAATTGTTTGTCAACAAAAATTTTGTTGCTAATTCTGTCTTTAATCCGTCACTAATTGTAAATTTCATCATTTTAGATTATAATCTTACAACAATTTATATAATAACATAATTAAAAATATAATAATTTAAATATTTTTTCAATTATAAAATGAATTGATATAGTGTTAATGAAGATATCATTATCATTTATCTTTTTATTAAATACACACTGAGAATTGCAAGACAATTTCTTAGAAAACTTGTTTATATTTCATTAAAATCAATTCCTTTTTATTAAAAATAATTAAACAAATATGATAAGAATATTAATAACTTTCTTATGCAAATTGATATAAGAAAGAAATAATTCTATTATATGTATAATATATTGAAAGATGTAATATATGATAGAAATTCAAAATCAAAAAATGAATTTATATGAACACTTCAATTTATGATTATAAATCAAATTAATATTGAAGTAAACTTTGAATTTCAATCATTAAATAATAAAATTTGGTCATGATATAATCAATACTCATAATATAGATTGATTTTGGTTTTCAACGTAAAAACAAATGGCATATTATATAGAAAAAATTTAAGAAAATAAATTATGTAGAATACATATATAAATAGGAGAATATTATTTATCATAATCTATTCAAATCATTTTATTTTTTTTACATAGAATAATCTATTAAATTTTATTATGGTAGCTATTTTTTGAATAAAAATATTTTTTTACTGATTATAAAATGGTTTTCATCAAATATATAAAACAAATATAGATAATATAATATAATCTAGTATATTATAATATAATATAATATAATATAATCACTATATAATTAAATTATATATCTTATCAATGTCAAATAAAAAAATTAAATTTAAAAAATATATTTATATAAATTATTATTTACGATTTAAAATTCAAAATTAGTGTCATTTGAAATTAATATTATATTAAAAATATTTTTTAAAAAATAAAACATTATAAAATAAATAGTAAAAAAAATGTCTAAAAATTATTTTGTCACAAAAACAGTTATGATTAAAAGTATCATATAGTTTATTTTTAGTTTCTAATAATATATATGTGTATATATAATTATTTGTGTAAGAGAATATTATATGTATTTAATTTTGCATAATAAATCAGTAAGTTCATTACAGTTCAATTGGTAAAACCACAAGTACAAGGTAGCATGCGAGATGGAGACATGTGGTGGAGATGTGAGGTGACAACGACATGTGGAGATGAGGTGGTGGCCCTTGATGGCAGAAGTGAGGTGGCAACGACATGTGGAGGTGGCCGGTGGCTATTGCCAGTGATGAAGTAACAACTAGTAGAGGTACTACGTGACATTTTAATTTTTTTTAAAAAATCATATTAGTGATGGAATTGAAATTTTGCCACTAATCACGTATTTTTTGGTAGTACCAATTGACTCTTATCTTAAGATTGGACGGAGGAAATAGTTGATGTTACAAGTGTGAACAAAAGTTGTACGCTTGCTATTATAATGTGTTTTATTATATTTATAGTCCATTAAATCTGTTAATTGACTTATATTTTTTAACAAAAAGAAATTCCATGCATAGCACGACAAATTCAACTTTCTCATCATTCCTCTGCCTCCCTTTCCTTCAAACTAGAATATTTGCGCATAGTATATTTGAAACTCGAGCTCCATTACATCATGACCTTGCCAACTTTTTTCTTAGCTATGGACTAGGGATGGATTTCTTCTAATTTGCAATTAAGCCATTCCGAACCGTTCAAAAAAGTTTCACGCAAGAATTTGAAACACGGGCACTAGGTGTAATAATACCATTTTAAAATATAGGCTAAGTGATGCGGCATAGATGTGGCGGATGGACCAAAAGAATGGAATAAAATAGAACTAAGAATCTAAATAAAATACTGGGTTAAAGTGTAAATTTATTTTGACAGTTTTCATTGAGAAGAGCTGGATACCCCTTTTTTTTTTTTTTTAAAGTTCAATATTGCCCTAATAATTTTCAAATCATAGCAATTTGGCCTCGGCTGTTATCTGTCTGGCAAACGAGAACTCCTCCTCCATCCGCGGCTTCTTCTTCTACTCTGTTGTCTACTTTGCTAACTTAGTATATTCGGCGAATTAATAATCAAATTTAACTTAGATAACAGCTATGATTTGGAAACTTGTAAGTTAATATTGAACTAGAAAAATTTTTGGATACCTAACACCCCAGAATAAAAACTTTTAAAATAACTTTGCACCTTAACAAAATGATGAGGATGATGTGTAGACCTCTCAGCTTAGCATATTTAGTTAACTAATTGTCAAACATAATTGGAATAATGTCCACGGCAAAATTACAATAATTTGAAAATTTTTGTGGTGATATTAGGGAGAAAAAATTTCAACTACTCAACGTTCTAGAATGAAAATTTTTGAGATAAATTCGTATCTTAATATTAAAATATTTAAACTTTGTTTAATTTGAACGTTAATGATAATTAAAATTGAAATTTAAAATTCCAAATAATATAAAAGTGACATTCAACGTGAATTTATTGAAACCAAAAATAAACATTTAATTTCAATAAAATATGCATGATGTTTGAAAAGTTCACAGATAAAGTAATATATTTACATAGGATGAATATATTCAATATTTTATTTGATTTAATTAAAATGAATTTCATGTTATCAAACCCACTATTTTAATACTATGATAAAGGTGCTAGTCCCCTTTTTTCAGTTACATTTTTCATCATCTGTCTAAAAGTAATT